GCCTGCCAACCTCTGTCCTACCAGGACCCCAAGTGAGCCTGGTACTCACCAAGGGCTGCACTGCACAAAAGGACCAAGAGGCCAAAGTCACCGAGCACAGGGCAGGACCTGGGCTTTCCATCACCTCCTACACCCGAGTGTGCCGCCACAGAGACTTCTGCAATGACCTGTCCTCCACAGTCCCACTCTGGGCCCCGCCTTCGGACACAGGTACCGAGGGAGGCAGGGAAGATGGAGGATGAGAGGGAAGAGGTGTCAGGAGGGACGAGGACAAGGCTGAGGGTCGCTGTGGGCACAGGGGCTGTTTACTCAAAGGCATCCCCCTGCGGAACAGCAGCGTGGCCAGCTCACTGGCTACATCCTTCCCTGGCTGCTCCCTTGCTCATTTCTTCTCTGGATCCCTCCGGGCCTGTCGCGTTCACCTCTTCCCCACTCACTCCTCCCTACCACCCACTGTGCTGTCCACGTGCACCTCAGTCACCTCCTGACCAACGTCCTCCAAAGTCCCTGAGATGAACACTTGGTTGGTTTTTCTGATAGGAAAGCACCACTTCAGCCCCTGGCAATGAGCCGCACGTGGTCTTTCTGCATATTCTTTCTCCCTGCACTACTGGGTTTGGTTCAGTAACATCTCCCTGAGGGCTTCTCTATTCCCTCTTCCTAAAGAGTTCACCTGGAATGTTCCTCTGTCCCAGCACGGTGTTACAGAGAGTTTGGAGCAGGTTTATGCTTTTCTCCACTGCAATACTTTGTGAACTGGGCACCTTATCTATACTAAGAGTTTAGCAGAACTCGTGGGGGGAGCCAGTGGTTCCTTCCAGGACATCCTCTCCCTTCCTTGGCCAAGGCTGGGTGGATCCAGCCTCAGAAGACCCCTTCCCTCTGCCTCCTGGTTTCCCAGCACCCCTCCTGCACTCAGCCCAGTGTCCCTCAGGAGCTGACACTCCCTCTGGCCCCCGCCCTCTCACTAGTCACACATCCCTAATTCCCTGCAGCTGGGCCTGCATGAGACCCACCAGAGAGGAACATGTATGTGAGGGGCTGGGGACTGAGCCGACTGTGTTACTTGAACCAGAATAGCCAGGGAGAGGGAAGGCACCTGCTCCAAATCCAGAGCCCTCTCAGGGCCCCTCACTCTGTCTGTCCCCTCTCCAGTCCCAGGGAGCCTTCGGTGCCCCCTCTGCTTTTCTAATGATGACTGTCCACAAAATGGCCCACAGCAGATCTGCCCAGCAGGGTACACTCACTGCTACAATGGAGTGCTCAAACTCAGGGGAGGTAAGCCTGGACATTCGGGTCCTATGGGGACAGAACTGGGATCGCTGGGAACTGAGATGTGAGTCTCTGTAAAGTAAGGGGTAGTTGGGGGAGGACCTGGGACCCAGAGGAGGGCGGGATTGGTCTTCCCTCTGAGAACTGGGTGGCCCACTAGATCAGCATCTCTGTCCGTTTCCCTGTCCTTCTTTCTCAGGGGGCATTGCCAGCAATCTGAGAGTACAGGGCTGTATGCCCCAGCCAGGCTGCAACCTGCTCAATGGGACCCAGGTAATCGGGTCCATGGATGTGACTGAGAACTGCAATCCTAGATCAGGTGAGACCCACACGGGAAAGCCAGGCCGTGGGCTGCACTGCTGAGTTGGGGAAGACGATGCTTGACTGTATGGAGCCTACAAACTTGCAAACTCACCACACCAAAGCCAGCAACCCATCGAATGGAGGTGTTTGTAACTCATTCAGGCATGTGCAAAGTGAGGGGCGCCCTGGATTGCAGGGCACTGGGCCTTCATGACGCGTCCAGGGGAAGGAGAGAAGGAGAGGAAGTGTGGCCCAGAGGACATATGGACAGGACAGGATCCCACTGGTAGCATCTTAAGTGTTGCTGGACCAACTCAATTGGTGTGGCCTGTCCACGTACTCAAGGGGGGTGAGTGGGAAAATCAGGTGGCCAAAGTGACTTTGAACGTGACTGTGCAGCTGTCACCAGAGAAACACTTGCTTGTGGTAATGCTCAGAGTGACTGGTTGCCTCCACCTCTATTCTACCTATCCGTGAGCTTGGATAGCCCTGGGTCTCCCACTTGCCTTGCCTGCCCCATTCCCTTTACCATCCTCTTTCCTCCCTACAGTCCTGGAGCACCCTAGCAGCCTTAGTAGCACCCTAGTAGACAACTACTGGGGCTTTAGCTTTGACAGAGGAGCAGAGTTATGTGGAGGCTCTGGGTGAGGAGTCCCCACTTACCCACTTTATGCAGCCAGACTGCCACACACCAGACAGCTGCACTGTCACAGAATATCCTCACAAGAAGGCTTGCAAGATAAGTGGGGTCAGGCTGGAGAAGAAAAGTGAAACTGGAGTCCTGGCTTCCCTGAGAGCATGCTCTCCCCTCTCCACAACCCACTTTCCTCATCTGCCTGTATCACTGTAACCCTTAGAGCTTCAAGGACAGAGCAGAGTGAGATCAGCAAACGTCCTCATGTGGGGTTTCAATCTGTCTCCCTGGTGAGAGCTGCGTGTCCCTCACATCTAGGTTTCCAGCCTCCTGCAGCTACAGGCTGATAAGAGAAGTCAGTTTATTGCTTCCTATAAATGACGACCTGAACTGGCAGTAGATTTCCTCAGAGGTTGGGCAGAGAAACCTGCTCAACTGTACTTGCTGTTTGCATCCTAGATATGGACATCCTGGAATGCAAGAGGGGAAAAATAGAAACCACAAGGGACGTGTCAGATCTTCCACTACATTGGACAACTGGCTGGCAGGCCTGTGGGATCGGCCAGGGGTGCCAAGAAACAGTGGTTCTCATAGTGAATGGTGAGAAGGGCCACTCAGGTGCTGAGATCTGCCCCTTCCTGCTCAACCCAGCCCTAGAATCCAGCAGGACTCCGGGGATCCCTTCCCCAATAGCAGGAATAACGTCACCTCTCTAGCAGTTGTAGCCCTTTGTGGGCACAGTCCCTGCCTATCCCACATCTAACCCACCGCCTGACGCCAAAATCTCTCCAGGATCCTACAGCCCTGAACACCACCCAACCTGCCTCTGTGTCTCCACCCAGGACCCCAAGTGAACGTGGTGCTCACCAAGGGCTGCACTGGGGCAGAGAACCAAGAGCCCCGAGTCACCTGGCACAGGGCAGGCCCTGGGCTGTCTGTCGTCTCCTACACCCGAGTGTGCCGCCATAAAGACTTCTGCAATGACCTGTCTACCACAGAGGCTTTCTGGACCCCACCTGCTTCTGACGGTGCCAGAGGTAGGCAGGAGTCCTGCAGGAAGAGAGGGAATAGCGAATCAAGAGGAAGGCCATGGCTGAGGTGAAGCGAGCCCACGGCCTGGTTGTTTACAAACACTGTTGTTGAACAGTAGCTCTGCTAGCTCACTGCTACACTCCTCCCTGGCTCCTCACTCTTCATCTCTTCCTCACTCCTTCTCCCCTCCCACCCCCTGCTCTGTTCACTCCCCTCAGTCCTCCCTGTCCAGCTTTCCCGAACAGTTCTGGAGCTCCAAACTCGGGGGTGGGTGTTGTAGCACCAATTCAGAAGCTGGACATGATGCTAACCTGCTCTGTCTTCACAGCGCTTCCTGGACACTGGGTTCGGTTCAATAATATCTCACCGTGGATGTTTCTATAGCCTCCTCTGCAATACCTGGCTGTGATGTTTTCTTTCCCAGCCTGGTGTTACAAAGAGTTTGGGGCAATGTTTTGTGGTTTTATCCTCCAGAAGAGTTTGTGAAGAGAACATCTTATCTACCTTGCATATTTAGTAAACTTGTGGAGGAAGCCGGTGGTTTCTTCCAGGGCACCCTGTGGCACCCTTGGCCAAGGCTGTGTCTGGGTCCAACCTCAGAAGACTCGTCTTCCACCGCCTCCTGGTTTCCCAGCACCCCTCTCACGCTCAGCCCCAGGAGTCTCTCAGGAGTTCTCACTCCCTGTGGCTCCTTCTCTCTCACCAGTCACACATGCCGAATTCCCTGCAGCTGGACCTGCAAGAGC